CTGGCTAGAGTGCCGTGGTGTCAGCCTAGCTCACAGCAACCTCAAAATCCTGGGCTCGAGTGATCCTCCTGCCTCAGCCCCCCAAGTAGCTGGGACTACAGGTGCGCACCACCACACCTGGCTAATTTTTTCTGTTTTTAATAGAGATGGCTAATTCTTTCTATTTTTAGTAGAGACGGGGTCTCGCTCTTGCTCAGGCTGGTTTCAAACTCCTGACCTCAAGTGATCTTCCCACCTTGGCCTCCCAGAGTGCTAGGATTATAGGTGTGAATCACCATGCCCAGCCACTTTGTTGACTTTCAGTTCTCACATTTATAAAAACAATTCCCAAGTCTGTATCACCAGTTCTTTAATTCTGTCCTTACTCTTGTCCCAGATCTCTGGGTACCTACTTGAAGCTTTATTTGGATTTCACAGATTCGCCATATCCCAAACCCAAATTGTGTACCATGCCACAACTAGCTCCACTTCCTAAATTCTATGTCTGCAAAATGACAAATACTATTTTTTTAGACACCCAGGCACAAAGCTTTAGACTAATTTCTTCCTTTCCCACATTCAGATAGTCACTGGATGCTTTTAGTTTTTCCTTTAAAGTATCTTTTTCTTTTTGGCCCATTCTTCCATAGACCTTTGTCCTTTTGTGCTTGATTACAATAATAGACTTCCCCCCAATCTCTTTGACTTTTCCATTTCTGGTCCCTAATGTGTATTTTTCTAAAACTACTTTTGTTTAAATATTGCTTTTGTTGTCTTTTCTCACTGCCCAAGAAGTTGTATTATTTTTTCCACATTATTTAGCCACTGTAACTAGCCTTCAAGGGTTTCCATAATCTCATATCATCCTACCTTGTCCTATTTTACTTCCTACTTTTCTCAAACTCATCCTTTTCTGTTGGTTTTTTTGTTGTTGTTGTTTTGTTTTTTTTTGTTTTTTTTTTGAGACAGAGTCTCACTCTGTTGCCCAGGCTAGAGTGCCATGGCGTCAGCCTAGCTCACAGCAACCTCAAACTTCTGGGCTCAAGCCATCCTCCTGCCTTAGCCTCCCAAGTGGCTGGGACTACAGGCACATGCCACCAGGCCTGGCTAATTTTTCTATTTTTAGTAGAAATGGGGTCTTGCTCTCACTCAGGCTGGTCTTAAACTCCTGAGCTCAAGCTATCCTCCCACCTTGGCCTCCCAGAATACTAAGATTACAGGCGTGAGCCACCATGCCCGGCCCATCAAACTCATCTTTTATTCTTGTTAGCCTAGTCCTCCTACTTTCTACAAACGCTCCAGAATCTTTCTGTAGCTCTACCTTCACTCATTTTTATCTCCATTTCCTATATCTTATTTTTTTCTTATACTTACCATTTCTAACTCTTCTTCAAATCCCAATGCAAGTCTTACATATCTTTTCTATAAATTATCTAATGATTATTTTGGCCTTTAACATATTTCTCTCAAATTATTTGGTATTTATTGTAATTACCATTCTTCATTGTTTACTAGCTTGTGTTTTTCTTTATTATATAACCATTAGACTTTTTGAGGGAAAGGAACATAACCCCATCTGTACATAAACCATAAGTGGTAATGAATATTTAACTATTAAAATGCTATATTGGGCCAGGCTTGGTGGCTCACACTTCTAAATCCTAGCACTCTGGGAGGCTGAGACGGGAGGGTGGCTTGAGCTCAGGAGTTCAAGACCAGCCTGAGCAACAATGAGACCTTATCTCTACTAAAAATAGAAAAAATCAGCTGGGTGTGGTGGCTCACACCTGTAGTCCCAGCTACTCAGGAGGCTGAGGCAAGAGGATCACTTGAGCCCAGGAGTTTGAGGTTGCAGTGAGCTATGATGACGCCATTGAACTCTAGACTAGGTGACAGAGCAAGACTCTGTCTTAAAT